ACCTTAGCACAAAGCTAACCTGGCTCTGTCTAGCACCAATTTGTACCTCTCATGTATTAGCTAGCATATGCTGGAATAGCAATAGTAATGTAGCTAGTTAGCCCATCTTAGCACAAAGACTGAAACACAGGGGGTAAAGCCTGGCTCTGTCTAGCCACAGTTTGTACCTCTCATGTATTATCTAGCATACACTTGAGTAACACAAGTAAGTTAGCTAGTTAGCTAGAAACACACAGCCTGCCTCTGTCCAAAGGTAACAGCACTTCTAAAGTTCACTAGTTAAACAAGGTATGAGCCTAACATGTTCACTAATAAACTAACATGTTCAAAAATTTGTAAAGTTGTCGAGGTGCTAGTAGGGTTGGTGTTTGTGTTTTTTCTCTTAACTAAGATTTAACAGAGAGAAATGAGGGGTGAGAATGGTACTGTTGATCTTCTCTCTGGAACTGAGGAAGGAACTGATTCAGCCTTTTTACCAAAATGCCGAACTATTCCTTTAAAACAAGGTTCTTTTCCTCAACATTTGGAGATATGTGGTTTTCACAGAGCAGCAACAAAATCTGCCCAAATTTTAAATACTGAATCATGAAACCACAAAGATATAAAGCATGAATTACCCTTTGAAACACACAACTCTATGACAATCTGTATTTTAGAAAATTAAAGATTTTCTAAACTAGAAGAAATAGCACAATCTGTGTTAACAGGGAGTCATATGAGCGATATCTTCTCTATGATGCCTTTGAGCACTGTATAATGCCATATAGCAGGTGTTTACTTCTTCATCTTACATTTCTTTATTACCACCACTGAGGGGCAGAAATGCACCAGTGTCGACTCTCAGATTGGTATAACTTTCAAATTCAATTTGGATTATTTAATGGTTGGTAAAATGGTGATAAAAAATTTTAAGTTTGTTACCACAGTCAAGATCTTCCTATATTTCATTTCATTTCATATTCTGTGACCGCATATCCAAGATCTGAGACACCATGTTCCACTTTTCATGGTCTCAGACTCAAGCTAAGCCCTCTGCTGAGATATAACAGGTACATTTGGGATCGAAAATGTTTGATCTCGGGTAAAACCTTATGCAACATTATGCAACCTTATGCACTCTTTGCTTCGTGTCGTCTCATGTTTGCATGATTCAGAACTTAAAATATTAATAACACAATTCCACCAATTTGTTATTCTACATGCAGCCTTGACAAACCATTTGATTATTTCTACTTTGAGGGTATAATTTGAGAGGGTTTCTTGGCTATGTCGAATACTGAACAGGACAATAAACAAGAGATCAATCAGTAGTTACATTGATTGGAAGGAAATATAAAGCTACTAACAACAATAATATTACCATATTTTACTGTGGCCGTGTATTTTGTTCATAACTGGCATAATTCCATATGTGGGCCCACTGCAACATAGTGACTCTCTCAGCTGAGTGTGAACTGTAATACTACGGTCATATGCAAAAATCAATCTTTAATCTCATGAGTTAGTTTTTAAAAAGTAATGATAACAATATTCATCTTCATAAACATTTGTTTAGAATGACGTCTATGCAATGTCACCATTAGTACAAAAATCTACTGATTTCATGTTAAATGTTTACAATGCCGCTCTAAACTACAAATGTAGTTTGCAACAAGAAGGGGCATCATCTCCAAACCACATAACGTCTGATTATCTGAGGCTGTAAAAACGGCTGACAAAGGCCATTACCATGGAGCCCAAAAAGAAGAAAATATCTATTTGGTAATAGGGTCAGACAAACAAAACATAGAGATAGGCACTCCTTGTGCGAAGTACAATCCTATTGTTCTCCACCTTTAGCCCATCATATCAAGTGGTTACAAAAATGGTTATGATAAAATACTTACAAACTAAAAACAACAGTCCATATCTTTTCAAAATGTGTTCACACGGAAATGTAAAATATTTCATATTTAACATGTCTATAGCTAGCCCAACAAACTGAGGTAAACTCACTGGCTGTCTGCAGCTACGTGATGAGTGTACATACTGACAGTATAACACAAAGCTGGCAGAAAAACTTCACCCTGGATGTGTGAGACAAACACGCCCATTCTGAAAACTTGTGTAAAATCTTCAACAAAGGGCTTTGATTGTAAGCTATATTTGGAGTCACAAGTTGATGAGCCATTTCAGGGCTGATTTGTTGAAAATGCTGTGTGACTCTAGTGCGAGTGGCAATTTAATAAAAAAATTAAAAAAAGAAGAAAAACAACTGCATGGAGGAGGTAGAGGGGGCTGGGAGGAGGTAAGGAGTTTGTGGAGGAACAGCGCATATGAGGTAGGCTTTTGCTGTAAACAAAAAAAAAAAGAAAAAAAGAAAAGAAAAAGAGGTTTGCAGTAAAAGAATCAAAAAGTAACTCATCAAATCTGGGAAGGAAGACCAGGGAGTCTGTGGCAACACTAGGGAACTTCTCACACAACACCTCAGTACAATAGAGACCTACAGTTAATCATACAAGCTCATCAAAAAATATACAAAACAAAAAGAAATGCACAACTATGTATAACTCAAGAGGTAGTTGCTAATATCAGTACATGAATCGGTTACATACGTCTCTTCACCATTGCTTAACAGAGTTTGTTGAGTCAGTCAGTGGATGATTCCCAAAAGAATACAATACATTTTTTTGGTTAATTCCCTGAGAACAGTTCATCATCCTGAGAGGAATTGTGTGTAAAAATGTAAAAATACATCATACAAAAAGATGTTGTTTCCATAGAGATTTGAGCATGGCCTGTGCTCCTTCTGTGGTTTGGTCGTTCACTTTTTTTTTTCTGTCATGCTGCATTGTTGAGATTTTGATTTTTAACGCACGCACACATTCAAAAAGCTGTACATTAAAAATAAAAGATAAAAAAGAAAAAAACGAAAGGAAAAAAAAAAATACAACCGCAGTGTCGCACTTTCAGCAATAAGTCCCTCTTATTCTGAAAGAGCGAGGATAGCAAGCACATCAGCAAGTCTTATCTTTAAATGCCTTCAAAAAAAAATAAAGCCAAACTCTTTGGTATAGAAATATACCAAAAAAAGTTGGTTGTCTACTTAGAGCTTTTTAAAAACACACAAGCTAGTTTGATATCATCATACAAAGTTATTTGATTTGTCAGAACATTAAGATACAACTCCAAAGCGACCCGACGTGAACTTTGTGAGGAGTCGACTTCAGATAAGCTCTTTTCACATTCAATATGGTCAGAGAAGAGTTGTTAGGTCACAAATAAGTGCCACTAAAGCCATGCTTGGGATTCAAGTTATACCAAAAGCAGCACTCTTTCTCTCTCTCTCTCTCTCTCTCTCTCTCTCTATCTCTCTCTCTCTCTTCAGTGAGTCTGGAGCAGCGGCAGCAGCAGCAGCAGCAGTGGCGGTGTCTCATCCCAAAAACAGGAGTGAGCGTTACCCTGGCTGGTGCTTCATGAACTAAATGGTAGGCACAGATGGAAGAGGAACCAGGCGAGGTTCGATCTTACTGTTAACGCAGCTGGGAGAGCAAACAGCTTGACGTTCTGTGACATTCATTTCCAAGAGGAAGAAGTGGTGAGGTATTAAGTAAGTAAGTAAGTAGAGCAGCTGTGTATGATACTGTAATGACCTGATAACTACTCCTGTAATAAAACAAGGCGAGTCTTTGTGCTTTGTCATTGCTGACAGTTTGAAGTGAGGAATAAGGCGGCGTGGAGTTGACGTTTTAAAAAGGGTCCGTTTGTTTTGTTGTGGATGAAAACGGGTAAATAGAGAGAGAGCTAGAAGTTTCCACACAACAAAGTATCCCATGCAATATACAGGGCCATTCACCTACGTCAGAGCTAATTCCTTATATATGCATTACTTAAACTTAAGAGAATTTCAATTATATCTTGTGGCTTTACATATATATTAATGACTTATACTATGATTCATAAACTGTAATGTTATTTTAAACTAATTATACAACAATCAAAATGGAAGTCTAATGATCGATTCATTAACTTTGAATCTAAACTATGATCTAACTTAATTATATGATGTCTTCTCTAAGGCGTGTCTATCTATCGTAGTAGGAGACTGAAAGGTTAATAGTGTTGACCCGCACCTGAAGAAGAGGTGCTCCAGTCTGCATGCACAACACACACACATAAACACACACTTTCTTTCTCTCTCTCAGTCGTGCATGCACAAACACATATGCTCACCCTTTGACAATCAGTTGGTCCAGTCTATTTCATGTAAGAGAGAGGTATGTAGTGAGTGTTTTCAAGAGCAGCGGCTCACTGTGTCTTTTAAAAAATAAAAAATAAAAAAATCCCTCTGGAATCCATACAGTTTCCCTAGAGATCTTTATAAACCAAGCTAACAATCCTATGGGTCTGGATTATCGCTTAGAGGGTCTTAGAGCTTTTAAAAGTCTTCTTCTAATCCTTCTTAAAATGAGCTACCGTGTGTGCTAAAAGGATGCATCATGATTTTTCGGAATGATTAGGCCTACAGGATATAAATTTGCGGCTTTAAAATCGACAACATCTGTAAGGAAAAAGCATTCAAAACGGCCAACACTTAGGTCCGGGGGGGTGGGGGTGGGGGGGTGTCATCAAACAAAGATTCATACCATGTTGTTTCACTCTTGAGCTGCACTGATTGAAACAAGAAAAACAGTCATTCCCTGCAGTCACCATTCCAGCGGTGGTTGCCATAGCTGCACCAGATGACTGCAAGTCAGTCAGTCAGTCACACACATTCACGCACGTCCGTACCCCATTGATCGTTGCCATAGCTGCGCTGGTTAGAAAAATAAAAAAACACAAAAAACAAATAAAATAAAAGTAAAGAAATTAAGACCTCCCATTTTTTTTTCACAGGTGTGAGGTAGATGAGGGGGGGTGGGGCTTCAGGTATCCTTTGATTGAGGGGAGACATGAGGGTCGGGGGGGAGGGGGGGTCGGGGGGGGTTTAGCGGTGAAAGGTTCACCTCTATGGGCCGTTTTCAGGATTTCCTCCACCTCTGGGTCCGGGGGCCATGGTGTGTGTGGGGCTCCTCGGGGGAGGAGGAGGAGCCCTCCAGGGGAGACGAGCCGGAGCGCTCTTCCTCCTCCAGGGGGCAGAGGTAGGGCCCGGTCCCTGGGCTGGAGGCCGAGGTAGACGCATGTTGGTCCTGAGAGCCTGTGGCGGGCGCCAGCGCCTTGTGGGGACACTGAGCCACCATGTGCGTGATGCTCTGGCAGTAGTGGCATTTCTTTGGCTGGGGGGGCAGGCCACACTCCTTGGCATGGTGATCCAGACCTCCACAGTTATAACAGCTACAGGGGGGAGGAGGAAATAGACAACACATGAGATGATGACAAAACTCTCCAAGAGCAACAAACAGAGGAAACCCTCATCACACGAATAAAAAGACATCATTATTTTTTTATCAAAACAAAAGCATGAGCCGACTCTCTTCACCTACATCAGCACAGCACAGATGAAATTCCTGCTCCATTGTGAATTCACCACTAGATGGGAGTACGACACATGATATTGCTCCGGCTCAAGCGTGAGTGGCACTCTGTGGCTTGCCAAACTACACCATGTTATTAAATTTGACAAGAAGCACAAGAGCGCTGAAAGAGCAGCAATGAAAACTGTGAAGGCGAAGTTGACCGAGATTTCAGCCTGTCAAGATGCCACCAGCCGTTCTGGCACCATATCCAATCAAACAGACATTTGGACAATTTTTGCTGCTTTAGGCATCAGATGCTCTTATTTAAGGCTTAATATACTAAACATGTCACCGTTCAGGGTTCAATGCCTTTTTTATATTATCGGTCTGCTGTTCAATGCTTAATGCCTCGTAAGCAATTAAATCTACAACACGTGACATATTCATATCACTGTTTGATGTTGATTTTAATTTATGAGCCAAACAAACTTGTGTTGTCTTTACGCAGAAGCTGAAAGCAGCAGAAGTTCACCACCATGAAACAGACTTTTCCAACTTTAAGGATTTCACGATGCGTCTGATATTTGACAGCCAATTAAAAAAACAAGCACGGACACAGTAAACCAGTGTGTCAGCAAACTGTTACTGCAGGTTTTACTTGGAAAGTCTGTTTCAGCCTTGGTTGCCTCTGACAAGAGGCTGAATTATCTCCAGCAACCATTCATATAATAATATTGATACAACATTTATAAAACACTTTCCATTCAATTAAAAAAAAAAAAAAAAAAAAAAAAAAAAAAAACAGCCTTGGAGTTTGACTTAAAGAGATATAATCTACTGGTGTTATTTTTCTATAACTGCAGATAAGCTGTTGGTAGCAACGTTAGCTTGGAAAAAAACAGTGAAATACAAAATATTAGGTAAAACTTAAAGGGAGGTTTTAAACAAGTGTCCTCACACTTGATTCATAGAACTAGAACGAGACTCATATCATAAAATATACTTTCATTAGTGATCTTTAAATTCATTTATACTGCTTTTTAAAGGAGCTATAACCACACACCAATTATATTTATATAGTAATAATATTTCAAATTAATGGGTAGAAATAAAAATGCAATAGAAAACTGTACATATAAAGTTATTTTAAGGTTTATAATATTTTATTATATGAAAATTTAATTTTATATAAATATAAATTACATTCTAAATTATTATATTATACATCTCATATTGTGCGGCGACTAAATATAAGACACACTTAATTCAGTTAGTTTGATTCAAAGTCTTAAAACTATCTCAATGTCAATATGTACAGAAATAATATACACACAGAAATACAATTAAATTCTTCTTAGCAACAAGCACATATACAATACACTCAGAATGAGAAAAACCTTATTGATGGTGCAAACTCTGATGAAGACAAGACAGCAGAAAACTGTGGACATGTGTAATAAATTAACTCTTGCAGAGACATTTTCTTCAGCAATTTTTTGGCAACAAAATGATTAAAGATGCGCTTGAACAATCCAGAAAATCCAGCGACATTTGGAGAATATTTCCTCGACAACCAGTTATAAAACACCCTGCTGGTGCCCTCATTGGTGTTTCTCAAAATGCACCACTTTCATAATCAGTGTCTTTCGTTATTTTTCCATGATTGCTCTACACATTTCACACGAGAAAAGCTGTGAGCATCAATAGTTAGTTGCATTACAGAGTGACCAGCAGGGGTCAGAACAGTGTAAACTGCCACAGGAGCCGCTCGCACTGAGCGCGCTCACAAAAGACGAGATGACATCACAGCACTCTACCTGCCATATCTGAATCCAATCCTGCCTTGTTACCACCTTAGTAGAAGGTAGAGACACTTGACCTAACACTGGATCAATTATCCCAAATAAACTGAATTATTCAGCTGTGTAAAACAATCAGGGAGCCCTCTCTCCCAGATACTGTTTCCTCCTTTCTGACAAAAGCCTCTCTTTTCACACCTTAAAAAAAAAAACAAAAAGAAAAAAGAAACTGTATGGCACAGGGTTGTAGCAGCTGTGATGCAGCAACATAAAGAGCGAGACTTTTCGAATGTAAATGCAGCCTCATAGTCGTGCGGTGCCTTCCTACGACTGATACAGCATATACTTGGCTCTGCCTAGCAGGGTTTGCTATACATCAAATGAAGGCGTTTTCTGTCAGCAGGAGGACAGGGAACACAGCCTCCTCCTCTGCTTAAACCACCGGGCATTTTCAAGGAGCTCCATATGGCTCGCTCTGACAGATTTTAGCAAAGCACCCTTCAGGATTTTACTGAGGACAAAACAATTGATTGAGCTACTGCCGCATTGAGATGCATATAAGCCCAATCCATCCCTCTGCTAAAGCCGTCTCTAATGTAAAAGCTGGCAAATTGATTAAAATAGCAGCAATGGCAGGCAAAGTGCCCTATTCAATTCCTTATTATGGTGCACAATAACCATAGCAACAGGCATGTACTAGGGCAGATTGAATAGATTTTATCTATAATCTTAGCCCACTCAGAAATAGCTCACTGCGGGGAGATGTATGTGTAACATGTCTCCTTCCACTATAGCACAGCCCTGCTTTGTGAATGCAGCTCCCAAAGCTCACGTACATTCAGCATTTCTTTTTTTCTTTTTTTTTTTTTTAGATGAAGCATAGACTGATGAGTCGTGCAGACATACATGTGAATTATTACATTCCTCCAGACACAGAACACGTATGAAGAAAATCATCCCTGGTTTTCATTTTCATGTTTCCTGATTTTATCACACTCACCGGTCTCCCTTTGGTTTGCGTTTCTGGAGTGGGACCTTCCCCTTGGGTCTCCTTTCGCTGCCCGCGCAGGGTCCCCCACCAGGTCCGGTTACCCGCAGGGACTCCAGGCCCTTCGAGGACTTCTTGTAGGTGAACTCCACCTGCTCACCCTCCTTTAAGCTGCGGAAGCCCTCCATCACCAGTTTGCTCTGTAGGGAGAGAAAAGCAATTACCTGTTTAACAGTGGCAGAGATTTTTTCTTTTAATGCTAATGCCTACCATACAGGAGTGCGTGTTTAAGTCAGAGACATACATTAGTGCTTGTGTTACTTGAAATTGCTCTAATTTCACAACACAAAGTTCCACCTGCCTCTGTGTGGTTGATTGATGACAGGATATAATCTATGTAATAAGAATTCGGATGGAGTACACATGTATGGACACAAGTCATTTCAATTAGCTTAGACATCACATGTCCTTGAATATTGAAGAATCATTTGGGAAGCAAATGAAGGTGATTCAAATATCACTATATCATTTTTAAAGGCTTCCAACACACAGCGGTATCAGGATGTGTTTTACCTTGACTGGATCCAGTGGGTATTTTTCTAACCTCCGATGATGAACTAAACTGACAAAGACTGTATAGCTTTACACATGCATGGTCTTCAACTGGCAAGTGAAAGGTGAGCGGCGAGCTGCGCGGAAAAGGTCATTTTTCAGTGAAAAGACTCAATTTAGTGCCTTCGTTCTACTTCCTGTCTGAAAAGCATAAAGCCCGACGTTACCGTTATGCCTGTCCACACCCACTAGTGGGGAACTGAACGTAAATACTGAATGAACAGTTGCCAGAGATATTATCAGGGTTTGTGAGTGAACAAACAGCTGTCCAATCAACCCCTTTTTTCCTTATCTTCAAATAACTGTCACAGAAGAATCTAAACTTATTGCACACTCGTGAGTTTACTGTGGGAGCTTACAGGCCTTGCTGCATACAGCAAACATCTCTTTAAACCACAATGAACACAGAGACACATCATTTCAAACATGGTGGATCGACTATATGTGGTTTGCACCAACTGTCATGACAGTCTGTGCATAGAGGGACTTGCTATACTCCCTTTATCTACTCTTCGCAGAAGCACCACTTCCTATTCTCTCTGCAGAGGGAAAAGACAAGAGCGTCGCACCCATGCAATCATTTTCTCTCAGCACATCCACCATCCATCTTATCTACATGATCGGAGTTATTGATTTAGTTACTATATAACCACTGGACAATGATTTATGTCTTGTTGATCGCACAGAACGGACTGCTGATAGGCGCTGTATCCATGACCTTCATGAATCGCAGCGGGCCCTGCAGATCTCGGCATAGGTAAACACACACCCACACGAGCATGCAGTTTGCAGAGCAAACCTACTACCTACTATACATCGAGTCCTATAAATAACACACAGGCTATCTGTAAATGCAGTTCCTGCTCGTTCCTGCTGAGACAGATGTGTAGGAGACAGAGGAAGAGAAAGGAGCAAATAATCAGAGGAAATCAAGTGTGAATCTATAGAGGAAGAAGCAAAAATGTGCTCAGCAGCATTTTTTTCTTTTTCTATAACACCCGTGTCAACGACTGCAGCTACAGGAAGCTGAAGGTGCTCTATAGGTGCTCTATTTGTAGATATAAATGAATATGTAAGAGATGTTTATTTAAAAAGTGGGAATGTATAAAAAAGTGAGAAGTGGGGAAGTGGAAAAAAAAGATGTGTGAATTAATTACAAACTAAGAATAGGGTTTGAACTCACTGCACTGTGTTGGATATATTATGACTGTACATTAAAATACAGATAAGTCAACCTTTAGGATAATACAGGGATTACATAACAATCTAAAAAGTTGTTTTTGTCTTATTGTATGCTTCTGAAAAAGCACTCTGTTGAGAATAATCTTAATAAAATTATTTTTTAAAGCTTGTTTCATAAAGAAGTCTCTTTTTTTCTCAACCTAATTTAATAGAAAAAATTAAAAAAGGAGTAATACAATGCAATCCGAATGAAATAATTGTCTTTCCATCTGTTAGCAGGCTACACCTTTTAACATTGAGCTGACAGATGACAAATGGTTTATTTAACTCACTCTCAACGCAAATTTATTCCAAGCTATTTTTTAAATGATTTCTAATGACATTAAGGAATCAAAAAGACTTTTCACCAAGACTTTTCAAAATGCACAAAAAGCTTACCAGGCTATACAAATTTTATCTCTCAAGACTGTATTAAATAAAAACAAATTTTTTGGTCATTTTTAAATGAATTTTTAATGCAATACCTTTTAAAAACATTCTTTAAGTCACTTTAGTTAGTTTGTTTTTATATTGGATTTGTTACTAACTTTAACTTAACCTCTAAAACTTTTTTGTATGAATGATAAATTTAAAACATAAAAGCTACCAAAAAAGGTACTTTTAATTTCATTTAAAAGAATAAGTTAAAATAATTTCCTCTAATTGCTCCTGTGTGAATAAGATTTTGAAACTAAAGATGTTCATTAGGGGATGTGAAATTTACAGAATACAATGATAGAATTTTAAAATCCTTCAAACTGAAAAACACAAATACAGACATGAACATGTTTTTGTCTTATGTCAATTAATGTTAAAATAATGTGTACATATATGTATATGTATATATATTTAGAACATAACTATGTATCTTAAGTTAATTTTAACATGAGTAGCTATGAATTGTGTCAAATTCAAAAGGCAAAAATATCACACAGAATAAATCAAAGTAATCACAAGCAACAAATTTTGCTTCATTTTAGAGAAACTGAAACATGCAATAATAATTATAATAATAATAATAATAATGATAATAATAATGATAATTTGTTTATTCACTTGTACCCAGAACATGATGCCTTCTGCTTTAACATCAAGCTTCTTTGAGGATATTCTTCCTCCTTATTTACACACGTTTACAACGCCACAATTTAGAAGAAAGGGAAATTGTTAGTGTTGAAATATTCAACACATGTAACTCGCCAAAAATTAATTCATTCCGCTCTCTCTCAAAAATCCTCTCCGTTCTCTCCCTGCGGTTAGTGAGGGTTACAGCCAAGGCCACTGTGCTTCAAGTCAATTGCTGGTGGACGACTCGTCCGTTTTGTGCATTGAGGTATTGGATTTGGCTTTGAGGAAAGGACGAGGATCGGGGGAATGAAAATGAGTGAAAGCTAAGATTTTGCACAACAGATGTGGGGGGGGGTGAAACAGAAGGGACGATGAGGTGAGTCACAAACTGAGCTTGTAGCTTTCTACAACGCGTAAGAGTCGATTTCGAGTGTCTGTGCTGCAAAAACAACGATTCACCGATCAATCATTTATTAATATATCAACCAAAACTGCCAAAACAACATACATGGCTTTCTTTCTATTTATGTTTTTCTTAAAGGAACCTCAAGCTGTCGGAACATTCAAATTACAGCGCCAGTTGATTTTATGATTACCATCATTAGACCATCCCGGTGACTGAGCAGCCTTCCTGCAGTGTAATTTAGTTAAAAAAAAAAAAAAAGCAAATAAAAAATTGCACCCATCCCCCACACAACACAATGTATTCTGAATAATGATGAATAATCATTGACTGGGAGACTGTGTGGCGCATGAGCCCTTCCTCTTCCTCTCCTGTCTTCAGTCCACAGGCAGCTTGTCTCTCCAGGTCAAAGTTGAGTGGTTTGTCTCAGCACCCTACCCCCTCTCCAACCCCCTCAATGCCCACAATGCACCAGTGAGGAAACCACACAACCTCTTTTGTTCTGCAGAAATGCAGGAAAACACACACACACACACCACAAACACACACACAGATCTCCTCCATATAGGACATGGTAGCACACTCATGAGTTTAATTTTTGCAGCACGGGCTTACAACAGCTCAGTTTCCTCAATTATGTAATAAAAGGCAGCATGTGGATTTACGTGTGTGTGTGTGTGTGGGTGTGTGTGTGTGTGTGTGTGTGTGTGTGTGTGTGCGCACGCGCGCCTCTGAGCCAATGTATGCATGTGTCAATGTGTGTGAAAAAAAAAAAAATTCACAAATCAGAAACTGCAACCCGAGTCTCCTCCTCTCGGGTGACCTGGCGGGTGTCCTGACCCGTTTCGGTTTACGCACAGAGGTCAGGAAAGGGCACGGCTGGGGAGAGGCAACGAGAGAACGTCAGAGAGAGAGAGAGAGAGAAAAAAAGGAGAGGGAGAACACAAAATGGAGGAGTGGCCTGGAGCAGGGGTGCTGGATTGGGTGGGGGGTGGGGGGTGGGGGTTCATGGAAATGCCTCAAGCGCATTCTGTTCAGCTCCAATGGAGGAGCAACTCCTGATCAGTGGCTGGACTTCAGGGGAGCCCAGGCACAAAACCCCCTATTCGATCAGGAGCCCCACAGGTCAGCGGCAGAAATCCGGGGGTCAGCGGTATAACTATCCCAGCACCACCCCCTGCCCGACTGGAGGACCACACCAGCTCTCTGCGCTTTAACTCAGAGCCACCAGCAGCTACTGTCGCATCCTAAAAACTGAAGAAACTGATCCAACAAAATGGACACCGGCAGACTTTAAAATGGCTTGATTATGCTTACAAGCTTCCTTATATGTAATAAATATCTTCCTATAGCCTTACATGTGTGTGACTGTGTGTGTGCATGCGTGTGCGTGCGTGCGTGTGTGTGTGTGTAGGAAGGAGCCAGCGATCAATACGGACTCCAACATCCTGGATAGAAATAGCCTTCCTTTTCATTGGCCGGGCCCTCGCCATCACCAGGCCCAGCAATCAATACAGGAAGCTGTAACGTGAGGGGATGGGGAAGCGGGAGAGAGGAGGACCCACCACCCTCCACCAGCCTCCCTCTCTCTCTCTCTCTTTCTCCGTGGTGACCACCAGCTATGGAATGGCTAATTATGGGATGCTTTAAATCTGAGGTGGCCCACGCGGAGCTGCGCGCTGGATCGTGCTCGCATTAAGAGGAAAAGGGGGTGTGTAAGGGTGTGTGTAAGGGAGATGGCGGTCACCATGTGGTGTGGTGCCATTAAGTAGCTTTTTACACACAGGAAATGCTAAGTGGACAAAGCTGGGCCAGATCAGCTCAGATGGACATAACCCAACAGGATGCATATAAACCAAAGAAGAAAGAGGGGAGAGGAAAAGGAGAGCGAAAGCT